GAGGTGGAGAATTAAATTGATATGCCAAACTAATTCTAATAGTCTTCTAATTCTAGCAGTATTTTTATTTTTGTATTTAAATATTTAAGAGGCCGTCCTACATGTGACTGAAGAATGCAAGAGCCATGAACTTATCAATGGCAGGTGTCAAGTTCAAGTGAGCAACTCACTGAAATTAATCATAGTATCAAAATCATAAATGATTTGCTCACTGCTGTTTCAACTCCATAATCAAGACATGCTCTGAGGAGTCCACAATCTATTGATGGTGACAACTAAGGAAGAGACAATGAATGTTCACCTTTTTATTTCTGAACATCCAAGACGACTAACCTTGAGCCGTTAAACATTGAAAATACCCTGTTTGCTGAAGTGTGGGTGGCCTGAGGTCGACCATGTCTAGTAAAGAACTGTTGTTTGTGTAAACACCATGCAGAGGTATTTTGAAATAAATTTTAGTGATGTAATGCATCATTCTTTGAACTGAGTTGCTGATGGCGGATGATAGCGGAAGTGCTGCACGTTGAATCAGAAATGCTCTGTTGCGCTTTTAAGCTTATGTTAGATTTTATAGATGGCTTAGTTTTCCTGCAGATTTCATCTTAAAGCTGTCAATAGTGTTTTACCTTTGTTTCCTGGGAGCAAATCCAGCTACTAACATGAGCATGGGACCAGGACTGGGCCTTTGTACCACGGTCGCTGCGCTGCTTGTCAAAACCTAAGTAATGTGCTTTGTTAGGCCATGCTGTGCATTTTTTAAACCTTTAGAGTGCTTTGTGATCATTGACACACATATTGCACCTGACAAACAGCAGCAAAATCACACCCCATGGCCCATCCTTACCTCTGTGCAGTGTCACCCAACAGACAACAGGGCTTCAAAACAGGCAGGTTCCGCATTCAAGTCGCTTCTTGCAACTATGTGACTAATGTTAGGACAATAGATGTGCTGCACAGGGAAGGTGTGTTCTTTGTAGCTCTTGAAAAATGAAGTCATGCCTAAAATTCAGTTTAGAATATTACAATTACAAATAACTTGGATTAAAGTTGCAAAACATGAACTCTGACTGGTCAGTTGAAATATCTTGAGTCAGTGAACCACGCCTGGGCTGGAGGTGGTCAGTTCCCTGACTTGCGCAACCTCGGGCACCTCGGGCAGGAGCTGTGGGACTTGTACATGGACAAATTGAATAGACGCTAGCCTAGATTATGTCATGGCTGCAGTCCAAGACGTGTTCACCAGTTGCCGTTGCTGCCGCTGCCTGCTGCTGCCCTGCGTGCCGGCTGGCAGCTCACTGCTGGACTGTTTGCGCGCCAGGCATCCTACTGGACGAGTGGGGTAGGTCGCAGATCTTTGAGAGTGAAATGTTTGGTCTAAATATAGCTTGAAACTCTTACAAATAATTAAATTAAAAGGCAAAATTTCAGAGGACTCCATTGGTGTCTCAGTGGTGACAATCAGAACTTGATCAGAACTGTTATCATGCTGAATGCTGAAACTGAGGATAGGGCTGAGCTGGTAGCCTAGAATTTAATATGCAGGCTTACAAGGTCCCCAGTTAATCCACAAATTTGTCAGACTTGCCTGTAGATAAATTCATGCAGATGAAATGTTTCTGGCAGATAGCCCTGAGGCAAAATGCTATTCAAGCTTGTTCCGCAGCTCGTTGCGTTCCACATGAGCCACTAAATCAGAGTCACACAACTCTGCCAAATGTGCTGAAAGGCCACAATTTTTCCAATAAGTAGGTATATTTATTATTTTTCACAGACACAACAAAAATACAAATGCAGGTCACTACAATTCATTCTGCTTCAATTACAATTGCTGGAATGTGTTTTGCAGACTTATTATATTGAATCTTGAACAGACTATATTATATTATTTTGCTCATGGGCCCAGGCCAGTACTGCAGAGTATGGCTCGCAGGTCGCCAAGGAGCACTGGCCTAAGTTCAAAATTGACACAAACCCTGCAAACTGAGCCAGAAAATTCACACCAAAGGGGGCTGAGAGAACACAAAAAATGCACCAAACCCCAAAATGGCCAGTCAAAATCTGCACTGACCTCAAATCCCCGTACAATGCTACACATCTGCACCACAGCAAGCCAAATTCGCACCCCGCTACACTAAATCTGCACCACACCAAACCAAATCCACACTGCACCACACTTAAATCCGCACCAGACGAAGGAGTCTGCACTGACAACATCTGGACAAAATTGCCATACTTTGCAGTCTGGCTCATGGCTATATCCATTGTGATTCTTAGGTCTGGTTATTGAAGTTGAGCTCACTTCCATCATCCATGTGCCCAAGACATTGTGGGCAGCATCAATAATCAAACATCAATATCTTGCTTTTGCTTATTAGGGAGCATTCTATAATATTTTAAAAATGATAAATAAGGTCTTGTTGATATTCTTTGCAGTTTGCGACCTTCTTCTTGACAAAGTTCAAGCTTCAATTTTCCAATTTTCATTTCAATCCTTTCCATGAACATTGAACATGTTACCTTGCATGCATGTTACTAAAATACCAATTTCCTGAGTTTTGATTTCATGCGCAATGTTTGTACTATTCGCGGCAGAAGCGTAACAAAACTTTGTGCCACCGATTTGGCAGCTAGGAAAAAAAAACTTTGCCCGATAAAAAAACAATCATATGACGTAATCGATCCAAAAGCTTTAAATTGGAATTTTTAAACAATTAGCCAACTATGGGCCGAATGTTTGCCAATTTCGTGTACAGGGGCCCCTAATCTATGTCTTGCAACACAAGAACAGTATATCAAAGCAATTTTTTGAAGGTGGGACAGTCCCTTTAAATAAAAACTTGAGCGTGGTAGTTGACACTGTTTTGTACTCGACTATAGGACATAATGGCATGGTTTTTTATGCAAGTGATTTAGTTCAAAAATGGTTTTGAAAATCATGCTACATTTTCACAAAATTGAAACATCTCCAAAACTCTGTGTGTACCACATAAACTGGTAAGTGGTAGGTGTACAGGGAAAATGAATGCATAGGTGTATTGCCACATGCATTGCACATGTTTCCTGCAAAACTTATACAAATCCACTGAGTCATTCATCATCCTCTTCCTTTTTTCCGGACACATGAATATTTTGAGGTGGATGTGGGGTGCTAAGGGACAGGGAAAAAAATTAAGAATAATATCGAAATATAATTTCACAAAGTTTTCTTTCAGTGGGTATGGAAAACACCAAATTCCACATAAAATGCTGGCAACTTCATGCTTTTATCTCAAACACATCTTAAGTTATATAACAAAACACCTCGAAACTCTTTACCATGATGGGTCAATGAAGACTGGTGTAGGTGGTAAATGTGATGTCATCATAAAAATGCCAAAACAAAGAGGGCAACATAATGACAAGTGACTAGCTTCAAAATGGGTTTTTGTTGATGACAGAAGGGTACTTTTTGGTTCTGTTAGCCTTATAATTAGCACATTTTCCAGAAGCATAAACTGCATATCATGTACCTAATTGGCTAAAAAGGCCATTAGTGGTGAATGAACCTGACTTGTGTTGTGACAGAATATGCAAAACATTTCAATGAATAAATTGTGTGCCCTTTCACACCCCGATTGTGGGCATTTGATGACCATTTCTTGGAATGATATAGATGTCCCTTAACACCCCACATTGGGGTGCTAAGGGACAGTAATGAAAGTAATAAAAAATAACGTGCAGGGATATATTTTTAAAAACTTTAGCAGGCATGTAAAGCACCAAATTCCACATAAAATACTGACAATTTGATGCTTCTACCTTTTTCTTTTTTTATAAATTTAGTCCGAATGGTTGAATGGGCGGATTTGAGGAATCAGATCCCGCACTAAGCATAGCTTGTTGTGCTGACCCTGACCCCAACTCTTCTTGAATTATATAACATAGGTAACACCTCAAAACTGTCCCTTCACACCCCATTTTATGGTAATTAAATTAAATCTTTTAACAATTTTCTTTCAAAACACCAATCCATTTATTGAATGGCCAGCTGATTGTGACGCCCAGAACCTGCAGAAAAGCCGTTTTCCTATCGCCATTTTCGAGTCAATTCGCCGAATTTAATCAAATCACGCTAATTCCTAGTGAAAAATGGAAGCTGAAGCTGAAAAAGCTGAAAAAGACGAAGCAAATCTTAGAATAACAGAATCCATTGAGATTAGAAATAGAAAACCACTGCTGAATAAAAACACGTCATCGTGGCGCCTACTTTACCCGTTATCATACTCGTCATCATATGATTTGTAACTATGTACGCGACATGTTTGTCTAGGTATGCATTGTATCCGTTGTTACCCATTGCAGAAGGCAGTTATGTATTTGGCATGTCTATATGTACCGTTGCTGTTATTTATATCGTGTATCTCCTTTTAGGGTGTCAGGGTGTCATCTGATTAGGCACATTACATCACATATTTTTGCTATCTGGATCTTGGTTCGTTGTCTTTGGCTGGCTGCTCGATTTTCCTATTCGAATCTGATGATGACCCGTGGTCAAAATATTATTCTCTTTGTCTATTTCGCTTAAAACTTAACTAATATATGATGAGCATCAGGCTACATTAAAAAATATTTCTTATATACCTACGAAAAATGGAAGCCTTTGCCCTTTTCTCTCCGATAAGTGGACGCGATACCGCATGTACCAGCTTGTTATACCGTTTTTCACCCTTAGTAGCGGGGGCTGCATTTATGCCCATATATGGTCATCAAAAGTCCATTTATTGACCAATCCATTTTTTTATTTTTGCCTCGTAGTTTCCCCAACTGAGGTGCTGGAAAAGCACCCCTGGGATTATTACAATTCTCCGCCCCTGGACCACGCCCTGGATTTGTCCACAAAGATCCACCCTGAAATCATGATACCTGCAGCTGAGTGGTTTGATCCACTCTACACTACCCACCTTAGTCATACATTATCTACTAATTGCTTGTAAACAAAGAATAAACAGATCGTCACTTACTTTGCTAATTTTTGAGCAAATGCTCTTCTTTCGTTGCACCCGACTCCTGAATGGCACGCCATTGATCAATCCACGAACTTTATAACGTTTATAACCACGGCGGCAGGTAGGTACCCCCCTTATTATATCTTACTACCCTTGCATACTACCAACCCAAGGCTTGCCCAAGGCCACAGGGGAGCACTGCCGCTTCAACCCTATTGGCCGTAGTGTCTAACAGTGGCGGCCATATTGCGCAGACCAGGAACCGGCCGCCGCCTGTGTTGAGGACACTGAACTCTATTACCGGGGTTACATGCAGAGGCGGATCCAGCTCAGACTAGTTTGGGGGGGGGGGCAAACCATAAAATTTATCGATTCTTTCCATGCATCGTCCATAGGCGTAATGTTAAAATTATGCCGTTTGGAGGGGGCAAATGCCCATTTTGCCCCCCCCCCCTGGATCCGCCACTGGTCACATGAGCGATCCGTTCCAAAAAATACGCACTACGCTAATGCGCATCAGCTCCTCACCACGGTGACTACTCCTCACAAACGTATCTACGGCACCGGTTACATGAGACTAATTCGTTTTATCTACGTCAAACGGATCTTGTTTGGCTCACCCGGGCTGACTACTCGACGGCCGGTAATTCCAAGGCCGTATAAGTGGGTAATTCGCATCACAAACGGAATAGGATTAGCGTACAGTTATGGCGCAGTTGCGGCATTTACCGGGACGACTGAACTCAATTTTAATTATTGAACGATATAAATCATTTGATATGCTCAAAAACATTAAAAATAAACATGAAATCAAAAATTGAAAACAAAGTTTTCGTGTTTTAAATCACTGAGCACTGATTAGCCATGCAGCGACAGCAGGGTGGTCAGAATAAATTTATCCATCAAAATATTTCATTCATTTTATCATAGATAACAGTAGAACTGGATTTGACACGGAATTATGTGATCTGCAGTAGGGGACCCAAAAAGTCCGTTCGCCAGAATATCAGCCACCGACCGCAATAAGACATGTCAGACAGTGCAGTCTTCATTTCTGATTAGCCCGTGAACACTGACCCGTTTACTACTCGTTATAATTCAGTGTAGGGTGCCCACGGGGCGTGAGCACGTACAGCGTGAGGGGTGTCTACAAGACCTTTTTTCTCGACCGAACAATTCGGCAAGACGGTTCTTTACTGTTCTACTGGCGAGATCAACCCTGACACTGCAAAACTGTGTCACATGTTAAATCGACACAAATTTGATTGAAAAAGTTTTTTTTCTTACAACTTAAGAAATAACGTTCAAAGGTACAAGCAAACAGAGGTCATGCCATCGTTCGGTGATGTATTTACCAAGCTTGACACAAGTCCACACAAAAACTGATGAACTGGTTCGTAAGTAAGGGAGAGGTGATAGTTTATGTGAAAACTAGTCACTAACATTTCCATATATACTGGTCGAAGTTACAAAGAAGTCCTATCTATCCGGGCCGGTGCCACTCAGACAAAAAAAAAACACTTTTGCACTTGTACGGGTGGTCTCCTTAGCCCTTTTGACACCGGTCAGCTTGGAGGCAGCGCTTGTATGGGTGTTGTTCTTAGCTCCTTTTAACACCGGTCAGCTTGCGACGCTTATCATCGCATTGTGTTCTTGTGCAGTGCACCGTTGCTTCACCCGACTTGCGCTTAGCGTGGATATCACTGTTTACATCGCGCACCATGTTCCCAGCGAACAGGTTGAACAAGGCGCCTGCCATTCGCTTCTTCAAGCCGATCGTGCTGTGTCCTTGGTTGCAGTTGGTTGCATCTAGCTCGACATCGTTGCTCTCAAGCTTGGTAACTACATCAACGAATACCTTCCTTGGTAGATGGGTTGTGAGCAGCTGGCGCCGAGTGCTCTCACTTTTCACCAAACATCTCCAGATCTGACAGATGTCTAGAGTGCTGGTGATGGCAAGACGGGAGGGTGCCAGAAGCTTCCCACGGTCCAGCAGCTGCGTGAACGACCGATATATGCCTTCTGCACCATTCGTCTTGTCGGTCTCAAAGGTCACGTTCACAAGAGTGACTTCTCTGTCGACCATTAGATCGGCACACGCGGTGCATTTGCTGGACTTTGTTGCTGAATGTGCTAAATATCCAGCGATATGCCCCAGAGCCGCCTTGGTCGAGTCGTCCAGCTCTTCGTGCTCCGCCTGTCTCGCAGCCTCCACCAGATCGTCCACCACCTTCATGTCTTCAAACTGGTGTTCCTGTTGGGAAGGAGCCATCTTCTTGGCGATCTCGGCGGGTGGGAAGCCAGACCACCAGATTAAGCTTTTGATTCTTATCACCGCTTCATTTTCCATGAACTGACGGACACTAGACCAGTAATTTCCGCCAGATATTTTTCGCAGGTGGCCGAAGTGCCGTTCGATGTGGTCAGACTGGATCTTGCCCAGCAGCACGTAGTTCAGCAGATCACTGTAAGTTTCTAAAAGGTACTTGGCCAGACCCGCTAATCCTCGAGAACAGTAGAAGACCGCCATGCAAGTGTCTTTGCTCATTTGTTTTGATCCAACGATGTCATGGAAGCTGCGCATATAGTTTCCAAACTTACTGAGAAAGTCTAGAGACTTATCGCTGTCTTCACAACCAGAGCGCAGTGCCACACGACTCTTGTCATTTAGACGACGGGCCATGTGCTCCGACTTCACATTGCAGGTGTTGAACCAGCGGCGAATCAGCTCCAGGAACTCGGCCGTGTCTGCGAAACCTTGGCAGTCAGGCACGTGCTCTTCGAAGTGCCGCAGGGCCGCTGTGGTCGTTTCGTCTGTCGCTGCCGCGGCAAGGCCAACATTGACCCGCTCCAGGACTGACGGCCTCAACACCTTATCCGTCAGCTTATAGGCCATCTTGCCTGGGTTGCCCCGCTCCATGTTGTACATACAGCCTGGTCAGGTGCGAGAAGTTCACTTTCAACTGATGCAGCTCATCTGACTCTGTAAAGGCTGGGAGTGTGAGAGTCCGGTTCTTCATCACGCCGAAGTACAGGTTCTTGAATATGTGAACCGTGTCATACAAGGTGTAGACACGTTGCTCCGTCTCCGAATACGGGTTCAGTATGTACTCGGGGTGACGGCGGTCGTCACCGAGTGAGTTGTGCCAGCTTTGGTTTGTTCGATGGTTGTCCGTTGTTACAGACACAACCTTGAAGCCAAGCTCCGTGAGGCCTTTCAATACCTTATGGAAGGTCTGATCTATGTCCGCCGCTGTCACATGAGGCACTGGGAGCATGCTAACCATATCCTCATATTTACCTGCCACAGAGTTTATATGCGTGCAAAACAGCGTCTTCGTGATCTTGCCTGCAGTCTGGCCGTACATTCGACCGCCCGCCAGCTCCATGCACTGGGCCGTGTACACCTCATCCATCGCGAGGTTGACAAGACACTCGCGCGGCTCCAACTTCTCAATGCGTAGGCCTAGATAGGCCATGGTACTGCTGTCGAGACCGGCGTTGACCTGCAGCGCTGAGGTGAGTCGCCTTAGTGTCCTTGAATGTGGCAGACAAAATATGTTCGACATGTACAGCGTCTCGTACAGCTTGGGGCTGATCCTGTCCCAGACGACCGCGGCTCCAAGCAGGAATGGCGAATAGCTCCTACTGCGGGGAAGCTTGCACGCTAGTCGCAGTTGTTCAGTTACGAAGGTGGCCACCAGGCGGATCTCTTCGTCGGTGATGGAGTCGGTCAAGGGGTCCAGGATCTTGGCAGCCACCTCCAGACGGGCTTTGCTTCCCACAGTCAGGCTCTTCACTCTCGCCAAAACGTTTAGAACCTCTCCGAATGACACGAACGTGTCCGATTTAGTTATGTCCGAAGTCTCCTTAATTGACAGCTGCACCCCATTGCTGTGCATCTTGTAGCGAAGGTCACTGTAGACAGTGATGTTGCTGGTGATCAATGGAAGCCCAGTCATCGCGTCGATCTCCTCCGTCCGAATACTGATCAACTTGTCCCCTTCCGGTTGGTGCATGACGACAGCCCTGGAAGAGTGAATATTTAAATCAAAACCAACATGAATGCTTGTTACAAACACTTTAACCGCGCCGTGCTGGGGGGAGGGCGTTTTTACGCCCCCTCCCTCAGGTTTTTCGCAAATGTCTCAAAAAACGGCGGCGCACACCTGTTCATACATGTTTTCCGCACATACGAAATTTTTAGACCTCGGTCTTTCAAGGTCAGGTCACCAGGTCACGTCAAGTGACCTTACCCTAGACAAGTTTAAAGGCTCGCTGGTGCTATACCGACTAAACAATTGCTTTGAAACTTTCAGCGATTGATAAAAGTATGTATAACTCGGAATTTTGATGTCTGTGACCTAAGGTTAGGTCAATTTTGCGACCTCTCCATTTTAAGTCAAAGGAAGAAAATTGAAATGCGCCTCTTTTGGACGAGTGTCATTCTTAACACTCAAACATTGGTTTACAGGTAAACATGACACACTGAATCGGAAAATTGTACCCGTGACCTCTCCTTTATATGTACCTGAGGTCATATCAGGTTATGGAAGGTCCCCAGCCCTTTTTACAATAACTTTTGATAGAGACATGCTAGAGCGATGAAACGCCTCAGATGTGTTCAGCTCGACGATACGGACCGACTGATATGCAACATGACCTTCTCCGGTCAGGTAATGACCTTGAACTTAGGTCAAATTTCAAAAATGACCTTTCAAGGTCAACTAATAGTTCATTCAGCGTGTCTCGACGAGAGGAACACGATGCTGGCAAAAGTAATGTCGTGGCTCTTGTGAAAAGTCATTACCGAAAAACATTTTTGGTAAAAACGGCTATTTTTGGAGTTTTTGCCCTCTGGAGGCTAAACCGTTGACCTGATGTCAAATCTGAGAACAATATCTAGAAAGGCCCGTGGAATTATCGAATGCGCTTTTCCGCGGTGTTTAAGCTCCATTGGTTCCCGAGTTAGGTATGCGTCGGGAACCAAGTTTTAATTTTAATTTGTATGAATTTGACCCAGAAAAAGGTCAAAATTTGACCTGAGGTCAAAGATCAGGTCAGGTCAAATTGGGACCTTTTGCACATCATGCGATTTGGAACGATGACACAAACATTATTGATGCCACTTTCATTCGTCTAGCTCCCCTGGTTCAACAGTTATAAGCAAAACATTCTTTCCTCCATAAGCTTACAATGGGCGAGGTCAGGTCACGAAAATGAGAAATCCGAGATATAGGTACGCTTGGTAGGTAAGGTATCCATGCCCATGGCCCATATCCTATCCTGAAAGTCTCAAATCATTCTTACAAAGCCGTGTCCACAGCAACTAATTGCACAACAACTTATTGAACTAATGGTTAGATAAAAGTAGCCGTCACTAACATTATTACGTACCTGAAACCTAAAGGTAGGTTCTCATTCAGCAGTTTCCTGTGAAGGTCATCCAGATCGTTGATCTTATCCATCTTGAAGAACTCTTCGACCTGGAGCCTTGCATTATGCTCCCGTCTGAAACGGCGAGCGGACGGCGTCGCCAGCCTCGTAGGTCGCTCTTTCCGTGGCGTTACAGCCGGCAGGTAGTCACCAGATATAGCTGGGATAGCATCAGACTTCAGTCTCAGGCGCTGGCGTTGCGTTTTGGTTCGCGACGCAGGGCTAACGTCGAAGTCATGCGCTTCGAAGTGGAGCTCGCACACACCAAAATTGTCGGGATTCCATCCACCTTGGCGACGTAGAGCGGCGACCCATTTCGCACGTCTATCTGACCTCTTGGGAAACTTAAATATACGTTTCTTTCCTTCTGACTGCACCCCGCACTTAAGCAGTTCGGTCTCTTGCTTGGTCAGCCTGATCGGCAATTCAAGACGGCACACTTAACCATGATCAGTAAAAGAACAGCCGAAATAACACCACACTTAAAAAACATTATTTAAAATGCCCCAAACAAGTGTGAGCTACATATCAGCTTCAAGCAGACTGGTCAAATGGTAGACAAGATCAGCAGATAGCCAATAATAAAACCCTCTGCAATACTGAAAACCCAATTCGCATCAAACTCAAGGCCTATCAAACTCACTGAGGTTGCACTGAAGTTTACATACCTAACATACATTTTCACACCGGATATTTCTGGAAAAGTTACGTTTTATACAAACGACTCGAGCGTTTTCTAAATTACCAACCGCTGCCAAAATATCCTCTAAATTTTGGGTCCCCTACTGCAGATCACATAATTCCGTGTCAAATCCAGTTCTACTGTTATCTATGATTTTATTTTTGCTATTTACCAAATTCACCATCAAAGACTAAACCAAAATATCAACAATTTTTTTTTCTATTTTCTACGAAGCAGTGGGGTCACCACGGTTTCAGAACTTCTAAGTTCTAGGGACACTTTTCCAGGGCGTCGCCACAAACCTTTGCTTGAGTCTGGTCGGCAATACCCACCTACCCCCAAATCTGCGTACCTCGTTGGATTTCGGCCACTCTAATTTAAAAACGAGGGAGAAGAATTAATATTTAGTTGGAAAAAACGAAGCAGTTACGCGGTAGTAGGCATGTTCTTCGATCATGAAACGCATGCCCACATCTTTCTGCCTATGCATGCAGAGACGGTCGCAGACTTGGCGTTTGAGGGGGGAGGGCAACTTGGCAAAGAGGCCCTGTCGACCCTCGGGAGGCCCAGTGCCTCCCGAGCCCCATTATTGCAGGGCCCCCATTATAAACATACCGGCCTTTGAGGCCGCTATGGTAGGTTGATGGCCGCTATGGGGCTATGGGGCCCCAGAGGCCGGTGTGGGCCCTCAGAGGCCAGTGCGTGACGCCTAAAGGTAAGTCTTGGGCCTCAGGCCGGTTTAGTGACCTCATAGACTGGTTGGGGCCCATAGAGACCAGTTTGGGACCCGCAGAGGCTAGCGTGGGGCCTCAGATGTCAGTGTGGGGCTTTTAAAGACTGGTATGGTTCCTCAGAGACCGGCATCGATCCTTCAGAAGCCAGTACGGGCCCTCAGAGGCACATAAGGGCCAGTCTTGGGTCTCCAGGGCAGAAACTGGGCCATCAGAGGTCGGTGTGTTTAGAGGTCGGTTTGGGCCCTCAGAGACCAGTTTAACGGCCTCAGAGACCAGTTAAGGGCCTAATGGCAGTTTGAGACCATCAGAGGCAGACTTGGGCTCTCAGAGGCTAATGTGGGTCCTTACAGGCAGGCATGGAACACTCAGGGGTCAGTGTGGGGCCCTAAAAGACCGGCATGGGCCAGCGTTGGACCCCAGAGACCAGCAGAGTGCCCTCAAAAGTCAAAATTGGCCCTCAGAGGCCGATGCGGACCCTTAGAGGCCGTCATCGGGTCTTCAGAATCCAGTGCGGGGCCCTCAGAGGCTAATATGGGCCTTACAGGGTTAGTGTTGGGTCCTAAAAAGCTGAAAAAGCTGAAAAAGACGAAGCAAATCTTAGAATAACAGAATCCATTGAGATTAGAAATAGAAAACCGCTGCTGAATAAAAACACGTCATCGTGGCGCCTACTTTACCCGTTATCATACTCGTCATCATATGATTTGTAACTATGTACGCGACATGTTTGTCTAGGTATGCATTGTATCCGTTGTTACCCATTGCAGAAGGCAGTTATGTATTTGGCATGTCTATATGTACCGTTGATGTTATTTATATCGTGTATCTCCTTTTAGGGTGTCAGGGTGTCATCTGATTAGGCACATCCATTTATTGACCAATCCATTTTTTTTTTTTTTGCCTCGTAGTTTCCCCAACTGAGGTGCTGGAAAAGCACCCCTGGGATTATTACAATTCTCCGCCCCTGGACCACGCCCTGGATTTGTCCACAAAGATCCACCCTGGGCCCTGTTTCACCGGTGATAGCAGCATGCTGCTTTAAGAGCATTTGCTCAAAAATTAGCAAAGTAAGTGACGATCTGTTTATTCTTTGTTTACAAGCAATTAGTAGATAATGTATGACTAAGGTGGGTAGTGTAGAGTGGATCAAACCACTCAGCTGCAGGTATCATGATTTCAGGGCGGTGTTTCACGGGATGCTGCTACCACGCTGCTATCAAATTGTGCGAGCTGACGTCACACTTGTGGTAGTGTTGGAGCAATGGGCCTGTTGATGTTTCCATGGAAACCCAATTTGACACGTGTACTTTTGATGACCATATATGGGCATAAATGCAGCCCCCGCTACTAAGGGTGAAAAACGGTATAACAAGCTGGTACATGCGGTATCGCGTCCACTTATCGGAGAGAAAAGGCTTCCATTTTTCGTATGTATATAAGAAAAATTTTTTAATGTAGCCTGATGCTCATCATATATTAGTTAAGTTTTAAGCGAAATAAACAAAGATAATAATATTTCGACCACGGGTCATCATCAGATTCGAATAGGAAAATCGAGCAGCCAGCCAAAGACAACGAACCAAGATCCAGATAGCAAAAATATGTGATGTTTGGTCCCATTGGCCCCGCGCTGGCCGCTGGGCGTCAACGGGCGGCGGTGACGCGCGCGGGCCGCCGCTTACAGCTGGTTATGACCGTTCGCCTCTTTATGGCAGGTCGGCCCTCGGCGTCGGTCGGGACACCCTAGAGGTCCGAACGGCGTATGATCTGGGAAGTTAGGCCAGTTGGGTGAGTGATATGACCTGGCAGGAGCTCGGACGGCGACTGACCTGGGAGTTAGGTCAGTCGGTGAGTGGCGTGGCCTGGCAGGGGTTCGGACGGCAATGACTTGGAATCTGGGTCGGTTCGGTGACATGGCCTGGCCCGCTCGACGTGACCCGAAGAGTAAGGTCAGTTCGTTCGGTAAGTGGCGTGGTCTGGCAGGGGGCCGGACGACAGTGACCGGGGGTGAGTGGCGTGGCCATTAACTGGAAAGTTAGATTAGTCCGGTGACGTGCCCTGGCAGAGGGGTCGGCTCAGCGGCCGACCGGACCGGTGTCGTATGGGCGTCTAGTGAGCGGCCGGCCACGGGCGGCGCGGCGGTGCGGCGACTGGGGTGGTGATGGCGCGGGGCAGGCCGTGTCGGCGGCCGGCCGGCAGACTAGAGGTGCTAGTTCGTTACCACGTTACCGGCATGCCGGTAATTTTCATTACCGCCGGTAGTGGTGTGGTAATGGTTAGTCATGCCGGTAATTGCCGGGAAGTGAAATTATTTGGTTAAATGTGATGGTACTATTGAAAATGTCATAAAAACAACATAATAAGGGATTTATCTCTGAACGCCGGTGATATCTCTCTGAGTGGCAGGCAGAGTGGAGCCTACGTGGAGGCGGAAAGCTCCGTGAGGTGAAGCCGACTTTGGAGCCATGGAGGTCTTGCTTGCAAGACAACCGGTCCAACGAGGTGATCTTGTGCAGGCTCCGAATCGGCCATACATATGCCACGCATGGCCACCTCCTCCGCGGAGACGAGCAGGCCATTTGCAACGGTTGTTCCGCGCCTCTTACCGTCGCTCACGTGCTCTTATCTTGTCCACTTTTAGAACCAGACCGGACACGCTACCTCGGCCGCATCGCTCCGGGTACCACTGTCCGCCACCTGCTGGGTGACGAGTCACCCTGGGTTTTATCTGGCAACATCTTTTCCTTTATCCGTGCAGTCAAATTCCAAGCGATTTACTCGACCTGTCCCAAATCCTCTCTAGTCTCCTTGTCTAGTCAGTTGTCTATTACGACGCTCTTGCGTTGTTTTATTTTACCCTGTCTTTTTTATAAAGTCTTCTACTTTCTAGTCTTGATATCTAGAAAGTTTCTTCTTTTGAAACACTTGTTTTACTAGCGCGACGTTATGGGCGCAAAATGACCTTTGCAGTCGACGCGCCCTAAAGCCCCAATAAACAAACAAACAAACAAACGCCGGTGATATGCCGGTAAAGGCGGCTAAACTGTGTGGAATATGCCGGTAAACATCTCTGGTCACGTACTATGATATCATAAAGTCTTTCTTTTGATGGAATCAAAAGTAATATAAAGTTTAATGTTAGGCATGACACGACATTCATGTATTAAATTCAGACCGGTTTCGAATCACAAGATTCATCTTCAGTGACAAAACTCTTTTCAAATTGATACAGAGGATATTGATCAATAATAGAGGAATTGATCAAAGGATATTTCTGTCCTTTGAGAAACTCATACACTCGATTTCAAGACTGCATCTACCAGAAAGATTTCAATTTCAAGACGTAACGATGAAGCTCAGAAATGTCTGTCACAAGTACTATCATGGCTTCAAATCATCTAAAGTGTTCTCATCAATATTTACAAAGGACGATGTTAACCTGTTGAAAGAGTGGTCGGCCGACAAGTCAATAATCGTCACGAAACCGGACAAAGGTAGGGGGGTCGTTATTTTAGACAAGTGCAAGTATGATGAGAAAATGTCTGCTATTTTAGCTGATGAATCTAAGTTCAGACTTGTGAATGATTCGACAGAATGTCCAGCACTGCAGCCTAACTCTCTCCACAAAGTCATGTTACAGGTTGAGGATAAGGTTAACAGACTACTAGATAGAATGAAAAAGTTAGGAATGATTTCAAAAGAAGTATACTCCAGTCTTTTTGCATCGGGCTCCGTCCCGGGCATTTTGTATGGTCTCCCAAAGGTGCACAAGCTTCTGGTTCCATTACGTCCTATTTTTTCTGCCTGTGGTACACCTACTTTTAAGCTGGCCAAGTACCTAGTTCCCATTCTCTCACCACTGACAGTAAATGACTTTACCATAAAGAACAGCTATGAGTTTGCCAACGATGTACGCCAACTTAAGGCCAAAGACAACATGTACATGGCTAGTTTTGATGTTGAGAACCTGTTTACGAACATCCCCGTCAAGGAGACTATCGACATTTGTATCAGCTCATTGTTTTAGAATGCCACATCCATTGCGGGTATTGCAAAAGACTGTTTCCGTTCTATTCTTGAAGTATCGGTTCTGAATTCTTACTTCATTTTCGACCGGAAATTGTACAAACAGATAGACGGCGTTGGCATGGGCCTGCCGTTAGGTCCTACCTTTGCAAATGCATTTCTTTGTCATCATGAAAAGAACTGGATAGAAAACTGCCCATCTGATTTCCGTCCAGTATACTTTAAGAGATATG